GGGGGGGGCTGTTTTTGCTCTTTGTTGACCTTTCTTCTGAACAATGCAGATGTCACTGTCACTTTTGTTTTTCATTTCTCCAGAACTGTATCTCCTATCTCTTATGCTTAATTTTTTAAACTGCTTCCAGAGGAATTTTCAATGGGCACTGAGGAATCATTAACATTAAAGCTTTCTAAGAACAAAAATTACCCATACAACTCCACCGAAGTCTTTGGCAGACCCGACGATGGCTTTACTTCATCCTGCTTTTCAGTGTAATTCCATTCAACAAGTACTTCTCGGGCACACACTCTGCCACACCGTGCCAGGTTCTGCAATGGGTTACAACTAAAAGCAGAACCTGAGATTTCAAGCCGTTCATAACCTGTCACCAAAATGAGTATTGGAAGGCATGAAGTACCACCAAAGAATTGTGACGAGAGCTTTTCATAAAGATAAAAACAGTATTGCTTTGTACAAAGGTGTTTTTGTAAACTCTTCCAACTGTATTTCCTCTTGAGGGAAACAAAAATGTCTGGGGTCACATCTTTCAACTGCATTCTGGGTGGAGGTGGGGAACTCTGAAACATGGAAAGAATTTAAGCGTAGTTTTTCTTAAATAGCTCTCTTGAGTCCCCGTAATTTTGGCATATTTAGGGACTTTGGTTCAGAACAGTGAAATCTTTCTTTACCTTGAACTTGGGGGACATGCTTGTACATCAGACCAGGGTCAAACTCGACCAACCACGTGTCCTTGACCTTGCTGTTCAACTTTGCCCGGTCTCAGTTTGGGTGCTCATTTGACGTTAACTGTGACTTTCCATCTCCAGGTACACATATTTCATGTCTCAAAAGGGGTAATTTTAAAGGCTGTGAGTTTTTATAAAGATCTATGAATTAAGTAGAAGCTGAGCTATAAAATGCATATTTGCTTCCTTTTAAAATTTCAAGTTCTTCAGATTTTTGAAGTGATGGAAACACTGACCGTCTCTTCACTTGCCTCATAGATGAGGTACTTATTAAGTCCTTTAGTAGTGAGTCCTTTCGTATAGTCTTTTAGTATTCTAAATATGAATAACCTCTCCAATAAAAGTTATTAGTTTTTTTCTTTAAAAATAACACTGATTTACCTAAAAGAAATAAATTACTGAATATACATGCAAATTGACATTTTAAAGCCGAGACTTGTGATGAATGATAAAAGGCCTCTAGATCAAAGGCATCCATCCCAGCTTCTAAAAATCTGTAGTCTAATTTTGTATAGTAAATAACATTTTTGGGCCAGGAATTTAGCTCAGTGGTTTCACCGCTTGCAAGTGCAAGGACCCGAGTTCGATCCCAGGTACCAAAAAAAAAAAAAAAAAACATTTTTATGACCAAACTGATTATACCAAACCTGAGCACAGCTTTCACTACCAGAGTAATGCCAAATAATTTTCATTTACAGAGCAATTGTAGTAATAGCTGCCCCATTATAAAGTATCTACATCAGGTTTGTCTTTCTACTTAATTCATATGTATATATTACACTTAAAAACAATTCCAACCCATAGAAAACACTAGCCAAAATAAAGTTATATAATTCAAAGTCATTTCTATAAAGTTTAAAAATAAAGGCCTTTTTAAAAATCAGACTTTCTCAGTAGTTTCCATCATAGTTCAGCCTACTTCAGAATTTTTGTTGCTTTGTTTTGTTTTTGGTACCGAGGATCAAACTCAGGACCTTGCTCTTTCAAGGCAGGCAGCAGCATCACTGAGCTAAATCCCTGGCCCAAGAATTTTTGTTTTTAATATTTTCCTACTGCAGTAACTTAAAAAATTCAAAGTCTAAACTGTTAAGTACTCACAAGCTGGGAATTTAACAAGGTAATAAAGGTAGTTTCTGTATTTAGTTCAGACCTGTATTATATAATTTTGAAGTAATTATTTTAGGTACAAAAACAATTTTATAGTCATGCATTTGCTATTTAATGGTCTCTAATGTGTTGCATCAATAATTGCACTTTATGCACAGTAGGTGATTTAATCAATAAATAGATCATCTAAGAACTCAGCAATTCAAAACTGTACTTTCAGGTATGGTAGAATTTCAAGTTTCCACTTCAGTTGGAAAGAGGGGGACTAATCAACTTAGCACTAAAGGAGTTAATTGAATTTAAAATTCAATGTCTTTTTCTTCTCCCTTCTCATTGTGTTAGTTGTGGTGGATACTTAACATATACAAAGTTACTAAGCTAAGAAAAATAATTTAGAATGTCTGGCCTACAGCAGTTTTGTAAGTAGTTATACAGATAATGACTAAATGTTACAATTTAGTTTGTTACATTTCTTTAGAAATGTACTCAAGGAAAAAAGCTACTATGAATATAGCTATTTGTGTTTCAACATTTCTATAATAATTTATTATATAAATTAAACTGGCTTTTCACATTTTTGAAAATTATATATATATATATATTTACACACACACATATATATATACACACACATGTATGTAGTATTTTTTATTTCTAAGAAGGCAATTAAGCACCAAAGTACCAAGTATTTACAGGTAGCCTAAGATATAAATGAGGACCAGATTCTGAAATGCTAACATCACAGGGAAGACAGACAAAAGCTAAACATGGATTTCTACCTGTAATAACGATGGAGTATTTGTTTTGCAAAAGTTTAATTTTATTGGTTTTGGCCAAGTAAGATATACTGTCTGGGCCGGGGATTTAGCTCAGTGGTTTTGCCGCCTGCTGTGCAAGTGCAAGGACCCGAGTTTGATCCCCGGTACCAAAAAAAAAAAAAAAGATATACTGTACTGATCCTCTGGTATGGTTCTAATTACTCATATAGACAGAAGGAATATCATCACTTATTTTAAATGATGTAGAACAATATAATTCAGCTGCTATACTGAATTATATAATGTGGAGAATATAATTAGCATATGTCATATTTAAGAAAGCTGTTCTTTGCCTTTGGATAGTAGTCTAATAGCTGAATTTTCAAAAAAGTACTTTGTTCTGAGAAAATCCTACTTTGGGGAATATTAGATGCTATCACTCACCTACCATTCACCAACAATGTATTATAAGATCTGAGCTTGTGTATTACATACACTAAGGTGTATTTGAAATTTCTGGTTACTCAGATTCCTCTGTTTCAGTTACTCCATGAGTTTATAAGGTTCAAATGTAAACAAATGAGACAGTGATTTTTCTGTTTCCACTTCATAAGTGTGTCAAACTCTACAGCCAAAATCCCCAGCCCATATAATAGAACTTTTAATTTGAGGGTTGGGAGAGCCCAGGAACAGTTAGAAATATCTGTACTAGGAAAATCTAAGAGGTAAAGACTTTATGTTTGAGGTTTCTGGAACAAAACACAAAAGGTATCTGAACATTATCTAAGGTAATCAAAATTTTCCTGGAGAGTCCCATCTTTTGGTAAACCAATTTTAAAAGGCAAATAATTCCCTATCTTCAAAACAGTTAGCAGATTACCTCTGATATTTTATATTAACATATCTACTTTCTTCTTTAAGAGTTATCAGAATGTGGAAGATCCAGAAGACTGAAGATGCTGATATGTAAAGAAATATAAATGGTACATATACTACCTAGTGCTGTCTAGCCATAGCAAGTGTCTGGTATATAATCAGTAGGCAATGAGTAATTGCTCAAAGAATGAATCTGAG